GCCTTATCAGTGGGGTCGGTTACCTGGCCAATACATTGTTCGGAGTATTGGATGAGCGATTCGCCGAACAATATATAATAATAATAATAATAATATAAGCCTTTATTCAGACACACATTTTTTTTAACATAATCTTATATTCACGACTCTCGTTAGTCGATGACACCAACAACTTGGTCTGTTTGCCCAATTTTGGCAAAGGCCTCCTCCATTTCTTTCCACGCTGTTCTATTCATCGCTTTCCTAGTCCATGTTTTCCCTGCTGTGGCTTTTATTTCGTCTTCCCACCTTCGAAACTGTCTACCTCGTTTCCTTTTTCTATTTCTTGGGTACCAAAATACAATGGTTTTGTTCCATTTCTCAATGCCTCTGATTATATGGCCTGCCCAATTCCACTTGAGTTTTCTTATTCTCCTTGTTACATTTTCTATTTTGGTACGTTTCCTAATAATTCTGTTCCTTATTCTATCCGACTTCTTTATATTCAGCATGCTCCTCTCCATTGCTGTCTGACAGGTTTCTAGTTTCTTGTTTTGCGCTTTAGTGAGTGCCCAAGTTTGGCAGCCATATGTTAGGACTGGTAGCACGCAGGTGTTGTACAGCTTTGATTTGACGGACATTTTAACTTCGGTGTTCTTCATTACTTCTTTTAAGTGCCAGTAACATTTCCATGCTTTTCCAATTCTAGTATCTATTTCCCTTGACATTATGTCGGTGGTTGAGATTTGTTGTCCTAAATAAGTGTATTCTTTCACATACTCAACTGGCTCGCCATTTATGATGATAGGGTCTTCCAAGGTGTCGAACATAAGTACATTAGAATTCTAAAAAACGTTTACACTAACAGTACAGCTAGGATAAAATTAGAAAAAGAGGGCAATGAAATAAAAATAAATAGAGGCGTTCGTCAAGGCGACCCGCTATCCCCTAAATTATTTACAGCTGTCCTAGAAGAAATCTTTCGTAAACTTAAATGGGACCAGTATGGACTAAACATAAATGGAGAAAAACTAACCCACCTACGCTTCGCCGATGACATTATATTATTCGCCACAACAAAAGAACATCTACAAAACATGCTCGTAGACCTGGAAAGAGAAAGTCGCTTGGTAGGTCTAACAATGAACACTTCTAAAACCAAAGCCATGACAAATACACACGAACAATATATACGTGACATTAAATCAAACAAGACCAAGCCCATCTTAAAAGGTTGTGAATCAATCAGACATGTGGTGTAATCATCCGAATACAACTATCTGAACCGGTTGGAGGGAATTATGGATAAACAACATAAAGCTATACTGCATCGTCGGTGTAATACTTCTGGTGGGAGTGATAGCAGCATGGCGTAAGGTGCGATGGAGTTGGAACAACCCTAATGTAGACCCGACAACGGAAGAGCAGCGCGGCTCTCGCCCGTATCCTGCGCCGCGAACTGGCATCTCCACATCACAACAGGATATTCAGATGGTGAACATGAACAATTCAGGAAAATGAGATGTGAAATCGCGCGTTGCGTTCACTAAATTAGTGCTCACTGATGAATCTTTATAATATGTGTTTCTTAATTTTTTAATTTTACTGTTTTATGTTATCTTCATCCCCCGGGAATATGTTCGGTGAGAACGAACACCTTTGTCAGCAATTGGCGCAACGCCGCCAATTTGTTTAGTGCACTTTCGTTACGCATTCATAACAATTTATTAACATTTTTGTAACTGTTTTAAATAAAGTGATTTTTTTACTATTTCGAACGTTATCAATTATTCAACATACTTAACAAACAACCAGACACATCCCCCGACAAGACAAGGCCAACTATTATTATTTATCACATGTGGTGCAGGAAGTGGAGAAATGGGGAAATCTTTCGTTCTTAAATTATTCAAGGAACATATTAAATGCTGTTATGTGAATGTATATATTGCTCAAGGCAAAATTCTTTGAGGTTGGTTTTTAGCAGGTGTAGCCGCTCATTAGATATTTGGAAAACTTTGCACTCAATATTCTTACTTCCGATTGACAAAGGAAATACTATGACTACTAAAAAATTACGGAACAAACGCTAGAAAATGAAATACGTAAATGGTGCCCTATACGCTGGCTTATCATATATGAAATTTCTATGGTTTCATATGAAAATTTGCGAATTATATACCAGGAATATACGAATAATGAGAAATTATTAAAAAAAAGTATTTGGTGATATATTTCAACTCTCGACGGTATAAGGGCATTGATATTTTATTCAACAACTGTGGTTTGCGGCTTATGTTAACCCATGACAGCAGTTCTTATTTTGCAAACTTACGATAGATATTGAACCTCTTGAATAATTTACGGGTTGGTGAATTAACGTCGGCTCAGTTGGAATCTGGGGGCACGGCAGTGCCCCCGCCAAGTCGAGCAAAAAAGCGGCACGGCCGTACCATCCTTTTCTCGAAGCAGTTCAGGCCATTTTCTAAACCCTATAACGTCGTTATGAATAAAACTAGAAGCCTGAATTTTCAGTAACCAAGTAGACATTTTATAAAGTCGGTATATTTCAAATTTCATCAAATTTGATCCAGTAGTTTAAGAATTAGAACTAGTCAAAGTTTCTTAATTTTGTCACTCACTGACTGACCGATCAAATTTGGAATACAACAATTTTTTAGTATATAAATCAAGGAAAAATTAAAATATTTTGAAATTTTGGTCCAGTTTTCGAGATACACCAACTGCATAAATAACTTTGTAATCCCATATAAATATATAAGATTACAAATTTACATTTGCAGTGAATGAATCAGTGTGCCTATATATGTATAATATAATGGAATAATAGGTGTAAATAGGTACCTAGATATAACTATCTACAAAAAGAAATGAGATGCCATCAAAAACATAACTTGTAAAAAAACCAAATCTCGCAACTCAGTTCTTCTACCGTAAAAAGTTGTGGGATCCATGTAATACCAAGTCGATCAATTTATTCAGTCCCTACTTAAGGCTCCTTATCTCTTAAGTTATTACATGGATCCCACAACTTTTTACGGTAGAAGAACTGAGTTGCGAGACTTGGTTCTTTTAGAAGTTATGTTTTTGATGGCATTACTATGTGAGCGGCGAATGTAACTTTCTCAGGTGATTATTCTGATGGGATTGATGTCCGTATTTTCTACACTGTTAGAAAAGTTGTCGCATATTATGAAAAAATGACAGCTGAAAATGCTAAGGTGCACCGAATCTACGCAATAAATGCTGTAGAAGAGTCTCATGAGGCGGCAAATTATGTTAGAACGCCTGCTGACAATACGATTTCTAGAGACATCAATAGTTGTGATGGTTTCCTATAAACCATAAAGTTGGAAGTTGAATCGCGAGTTACATACTGAGGCGTAATATTTCGGATTCGATGGGCTTGTGAATGGCGTGATGGGTATTTTAAAAAAAATTAAATGGCCTGCTCTCCGAAGAGATGAATTGGAAGAAGGGCTATACAGATAGGACTATTATTGAGAATAATCCTGAATTTTAAAGTACTTACATTTTATTTCTATTTAAATCAAAAATTACTTAAACAAGAGTCCTTCCTTCCCCTATTTTCCACCTTTAGAGGCGGAATTTTTTCTTTAAAATTTAATGAGACCGCCGTCGAGGTATTCACAATCTAAGTATCGCGTAACATACATACAAAAAAAAAACAACATACAGTCGAGTTGAGAACATCCTCCATTTTGAAGTTGGTCAAAAACTAACAACTAGTAAGAAGGCACCATCACCTAATAATGTTATAGGGCGTTAAAAGGTTAGGGAAGATAATATTGCAGTCGTGATGGACTGCAATAATATCTAATATCTCCACTGCATGGCGTAGGCTTTCCCTAAAGATTACCATAACGCAATATTTTTTTATAGGACAAGGGTGACAAACGAGCACACAGTCCACCTGATGGTAAGTGGTTGCTGCGGCCCATAGACATCTATATCTTTTCTCGATTTCGATTCAAAATGCAGATGCGTTGTCACCTGTCAGGACTAAAATGTAATGCCTCGTTTCCAGTAAAAAGGGTCTTCGGTTCTCTACATACGAAACACAGCAGTGTTAGCTGATATTTTACGCTGGTATTCTGTGAGAGCGTGGTCCTTCCCCGGTCGAGCCGATCCATTCGTGCTACAACTATACCTACTACTAAGCTTTTTTTATTTACTTTTGTTTTAAATAACGTTACCCCCACACTAGGATTTTCTCCTGTGTCGTGAAGGCAGTTTACAAACATAAATTGCACGAGGACAAACATCCAGATCCGGAACAATTATTTGTAGGCCATACAAATACTTGTTCCGTGCGGGATTCGAACCCGCAGCCCCCAGCGCAACAACATATTGCTAAGCCACTGCGCCACGGAGCCGCCGTATAGCTGCAGCATGGCTCTAACACGTAAAAAATGCCACCAGGATCTATCAGCTCATCAGTGGAGTGTCGCCATATACTGTATTTGGCGATATGAGGATATGACCGGCGTGTTGCTTCTTCAGCTTGCTGTTTTTTTAAGTGAAAGCTTTTTTTATTGTGATTTGAAACTCGATGACACGTAAAAGCGACTCTAAAAAGAGACAAACATATATATCTTTAGGTTTTAACCGTCGAGAGAATGAGATAGAATATTATATTAAAATTAGTCGTGATTAGGCCAACAAGCGTACCCTACGTAAAATAAAATAAAGTAGATGGCGCTATTGCAAAGCAATTTTACTCGAAATTAAATATTCTTTTGATTTGGTACACTAAATTTAGGCTCTACCTGTCTCAAACATTTATTTGCTGTATAATTAAACTTTTATCTTATATTTTATGCCGCATTTGTGGTTCCAAATTATTATATTAAATAAATCATTTGCCGTGAAATTTACATTTCGAATATTTCATATTTAATTTAATTTAAATATATCACTTTTACCGGGTGTGAATTGTACACATGTTTTTTTTTCTTTCAGGATCCGTTGGTATATCAATGTCACTAAATTGGGCAGACCCAGTTGATAATAGCACGGAGAATGTAGAAGCGACGGAGGTATTCCGGGGATTTAATGTAAGTTATTTATTTAGTAATTATTATTTTATTTAGTATTTTTTAGGGATTTAGGCTATATTTTATCCGAAAAATTAAAGTAATTTTTTTAAACAAAAATTTGATAAAATGAATGGTCTTAGATTACCTATCTTAAGTTTAAATAACGCAACGTTAATAGATCCTGTCCAGGAGCGGATCACTAATATAATAAAAAGTTATATATTTTTATTATCATATTTCAAGGCACGTTGCAACACTCTTCCTTTTTTTATATAGGATAGGGTGACAAACGAGCACACAGTCCACCTGATGGTAAGTGGTTGCTGTGGCCCATAGACATATACATCTATCTTCGATTACGAATCAAAATGCAGATGCGTTGTAACCCGTGAGGACTAAGATGGAATGTATCGTTTCCAGTAAAAAGGGCCTCCGGTTCTCTACACTCACCATACGAAACACAGCAGTGTTAAACTGCTATTTACGCTGGTATTCTGTGAGAGCGTGGTCCTTCCTCGGCCGAGCCGACTCATTCATACTACAACCATAACATAGCTGCGGCATGGCTCTACCATGAAAAAATATATACTATATATATATATATATATATATATATATATATATATATATATATATATAAGTTATACTTCTTTTGGGGCATTTCGGAAAAATAATGAGGTAATTTTTTACGATGCGCGCGCACACCGACACCTAAAAACGACATCATGAAGTTGTTACGATGTGCGCGCACACTGACACATAAAAACAAAAACTCACTGCGTAATTGTCTCTCAAATTCTTATTGTTTTTTTTTTGTTACACGAAAGTAGTATAACTTCCTACGTGCATACCTACATAAGTACACACACACACACACACACACACACACACACACACACACACACACACACACTTTTTTATTTTTTTATTCACCTAACCTATATCATAATCAATTTATATTATATTATTTAGCTGAAGGACGACGTTTAATTCTTCCAGTGTTTTCATATGTCTCATGCCAAGTTTATTATTCTCTTGACACTCTGAAACTACATTTACCGAAATGCAAATGGCGACGGTGTTGCGTCCATTAATTTATTCATACCAGCGTATCAAAAGTCCACTGCTGAGCAGCCAGATTGTCACTTAGGGACTTCGACTTAGGGAGGCGAATTTCACTATAGTTATCACGCTTAGGAGGTGGTTAGACAACCGCAGTTTTTATTATTATCAGCTGTTATCAGGAAGATGCTGTTGCCCATATCCTGTTTCGGTTTCCCTCTGTCGCCTCTTACGACACCCACGGTACGATATGAGGTAATGGATATTATTATAACGGCAGTGCGGTTCTAGTCTACAGCCAATTCCAAATTATTATTATTCCGCGACATGTGTTCCAGATTGATCTATTTCTGAATCCAATATGGTCGAAGACAGGTGACTTCCCGTCTATAGTCAAGAAAGTCGTGGCCAAGAAGAGCAAACAGCAAGGCTTTAGTAAATCTAGACTTCCCGTGTTAAGTCCCCAAGAAATCAAACTGCTGAGAGGTAAGATGTCTCTTATTTATTTATTTATACTTCATTGTAACCCTTAATAAAAAGTATTACAAAGAGCGTACCTGCCTTTTGGCATTCTCTCAGTCAACGTGGGTCGTGTGGAAATAATGTGATAGGTGCTAAAAATTAAAAGAATTCCTTATTTAAGTCCCACAGCTGGGCATAGGCCTCCTCCCATTTCTGAGGGTTAGTTAGGTGTTGTCGGACTTCATACGTGTTAGTGAACTTCAAATGTACTCGAGTTTTTTTTTATTACTTTTTTAACCATTGGGCTTGTTACGTATTGAAATCTACTTCAAGTCATTATTTAAACGTAAAACGGGAACAGCAATAAGCCGAAGATCAATTTCCCGCCAAAACACCGTTACCATAAGTTTTGGCGAGAACTTAGCCGCCAGCGGCGTAGTTTAAAGACCTTATGGCGGCGTACACGCTCGCCACGCGTGGCTCTCGTCGCGTAGAGGCTCGACACAAGAACACACCATATACACGCTCGTTGTGTCACTTGAACTCCGGATGCCCGCTGCGATAGACCTGCAAAAAAAAAGTACGCGTCTCCGAATGTTGAAACTTTGCGTGTGTGCCTATAACAATGTAACCTTTCTGTAAAAAAAAATCAACCCTCAACTTGACGGATGTCAATGGTGATTGGCATAAATATTGCAAAAATAATTGATATTCAATTACAAAATTTTTTAATTTTTTTCTCAAAAAGTATAAGTTTCTGCATGTTGAAACTTTGCATGTGTGCTTATAATAATGTAACATTTCTGTAAAAAAAAAATATCAACTCCCAACTCGACGGACATCTTTTTTTTTTTTTTTTTTTTTTTTTTTATAGGAGAGGGGGCAAACGAGCATGCGGCTCACCTGATGGTAAGTGACTACCGCCGCCCATGAACAACCGCAACACCAGGGGAATTGCAGATGCGTTGCCGGCCTTTTAAAAAGGAGTATCAATGGAAAGTCGTACCAATTTTACTTTCAATTTGTGTCACGTTCGTATTATTGAATTGAGAAGTAATTTCTTCCCAAGCTTCACTTTTCTTTCTAAGTGCAACGCCGTCTGTCCTTCGGTTTTCGATCACACCGATCTTGGCTTACACTACTTCTATCAAAACTTGTTTTTCATATTCCGAGTAAGGCTTTTGTTTTTTTTTGTATTTTCCATTTTAGAGCTTCGGAGTCCGTAAGAGAATAGCCGTGGGTGGGATTTTCAACCTGCTATACCACTGATAGCAGGTTGAAAATCCGTTAAAAAGGTAGCCGTGGTCAGTCGTAAAAGAAGATACGTTAAGCAAGGCGGGTCAAAACTAGGGAGATATCCTTATATTTTAAAGAAAGCTAACCAAAACAACAACTATGCAGAACGTAGAATACGACATAGACCATATTATGGTGTTTGTTGTATTACTTTAGTGTAGCCATGGACAATTCTAATTTTGCCTTTGAGTCATTTTTAAAATATATTTTTATCTACTTCGATAAAAATAGGTCGCGCCGCCCCCTGCCCCGCATGGGCCCACCGTTGCTCTGCATAATTACATTCGTTTCTCCAACTACTATATTGTGAAAAAGTATATTATCGTAGATACGAGTCCCTTACGAAAGTTCTTTCTTTCAAAAAGAGATGTAAGATAGTGAAGCAAAACCGAATCACAAATGCACACATCTTTATCGATGTTTTGTATTATATGTTTGTAAACAGGTTCGGCAGATTTCCTAGGTATAAATCACTACACGACCGTGTTAGTGAAAGAGTCCGGCAAAAATATCCATTCGCCGTCGTTCGAAAATGATGTTGGAGTTGAGGTTGAGCTCGGGGAGAAATGGAAACAGGCACAGTCCTCGTGGCTTAGAGTGAGTATCATCTATACATTTAAATAAAATTGATGTCTATCTGCAATATTGAAATAACTATTTATCTGTAATATTGAAATTTACGTGGTAGAGCCATGCTGCAGCTATATTAGTAGTATAGTTGTAGCACGAATGGGTCGGCTCGACCGGGGAAAGACCACGCTCTCACCGAATACCAGCGTAAAATAGCAGCTTAACGCTGCTGTATTTCGTATGGTGAGTGTAGAGAACCGGAGACGCATTTTACTGGAAAAGAGGCATTCCATCTTAGTCCTCACGGGTGACGACGCATCTGCATTTTGATTCTTTATTGAGAATAAATGTAGATGTCTATGGGTCACAGCAACCACTTACCATCAGGTGGACTGTATGCTCGTTTATAACACGGGACAATACAGGGTAGTGGGTATTCCTACACCATCACCACTACACGCTTTGTTTAAACGTAAATGTTTAAATTTTATAGTTGTATATTAAAATATTTAATACATTTTTAATTCATTTTTTTTTAACCAGAGCGCTCCATACGGTCTGTACAAATTATGTATATATATAAACCAAAATTATGACTACCCGACCATATATATAACGGAGCACGGCTGGTCGACTAAGACGGGGCTGTGGGATCGAAGCCGGGTGGAGAACATGAGGCACTATATGAACGCGCTACTTCTCGCTATTGAAGATGGCACTAATGTTAAAGGATATACAGCTTGGAGTCTGATGGATAACGTGGAGTGGCAGGCTGGTACAAGGTGAGTGACATTCAAAAAAAGTAGCAGTGAAACCTTCAGAAAAGGAGCTCCAGGTAATAGGAAACACTATATACTGTGGATATAACTCCGTTCTAGGGACACCTGCGATTTGGACCAATTTTTTTTACATGTTTACCAACATAATTGATGAAAAAGCCCAAAGGGATTTTTGGTGCAAATGCCCCTGAAAATTTTTACGAGTTTTTGAAGTATTAGATTTTTAAGGCAGTTCTTCATAATAAATCGACTAAACCTCAATTTTTTACACAGGAACATTGACTCAAAGTTACTATATTACTATATAGAATAAATTGCAAATTTCTTTATGTAATTCATTAAAACAATTGTATCTAATAAGGAATTACGTTTAACAATTTGAATTAGTGTATACACTACGACAAGGTACTTCGCTCTTCAACTAATCTGAAGATTTCAGTTCCACTCCATTTTACTGGCTTTATCGGAAATTCTTTTACTGTTCAGGCTACACTACTCTGCAACTCCTTACTCAGGTCCAGACATTAAGAAAGCACCAAACAAAAACAATGTCGTCAGCATAATACCTTTACTATATATACATAATACTTTACTGCTACCTTTATCAAGACATATTATGTATGTGCGTATATATGTATTTATTTATATATTTATGTGTGTCTATATGTATATATGTATTTATGTAATTTATAAGCTTTATTTTAATTTTATGTGTTATATCTACATACCTAGTCAGGTCATAAATTCTGTCACATGTTTAATATAAAATAATTGAAACAAGTTTATTCATTATGTAACCATTTATATACCAAAATGAACTTAACAAAACATAGATTCTTATGACACTAAAGTTTATTCAAAATGACCTCCGTGATTTTGAATACAGGCCTTCAATCTGCGCGGCAAGTCGTCTATCGCAGCACGAACGAGGTCCATATCAATATCGGCGGCTGCCTTAATAAAGGATGTCTTGAGTGACTCCAAATTGGGATGAGGCTTTGAGCACGCCTTTTCCTTCAAGTGTTGCCATATCTTGTAATCTAACGGATTCAAATCTGGACTGGAGGAGGGCCAGTCTTCGTGCCGGATGAAGTCGATTTCACGCGCTGCCAGCCAGTCTTGTGTGCTCTTCGCTCTATGAGCTGGCGCCGAATCTTGTTGGAATACCCAGTGCCTGTTATTGAACATGGAATGAGAAACAGATTCCACAAGGTTCGTCAGGACTGTATTTTGATACACAACTGCATTCGTTTTTACACCTTTCTCACAAAAATGTAGCCCCAATAAGAAACTCCCAACCATACCATGAGCAAGGATGGAAAATGACCTCGTTGGACACGCAGAATACGGTTGCTCGCTTCTTCACTACCGTGTGCGTACACCTTATCATTTTGTTTGTTGTAGCTCGCTTCTACGGTAAAAATTATTTCATCCGAAAAAAGAATTTCCCGATATTTTTTTCCCGCATACCGCTTCAACAAAGCGCGGCATCTCTTCAGTCTCAGGTCCATTAGACGAGCATTCAAACGATGTCCTGTTTTTCTTTGTTATGCCCGAAGCCCTAAGTCTTCATTTAACACCCTTTTCACTGTGGTTCTGCTTAACCCCATCTGAAGAGCCAATAGTTTCTGCTTACGTTTGGGATTTCTATGAAATCGCGCCTTCACAGGTTTTATCACTACTGGAGTCCTAACAGACCGAGGGCGACCACTTTTTGACCTGACATCTACACTAGACTCTTCACTGTATCGTTTGATGGTACGATAAACGAATCTTTTGGTCATATTAAAATTTTTCAGTATGTTAAAAATTTGAATTGGCGCGTAACCGCAACGATGCAACGCAATAACTGCAACACGGTCTTCTTTAAGCGTCCACTCCATATTTAAAAATGAGTAAAATTCTAAAAAGTATACAGTTTTATTTTCATGAACAATTCTAAATTCGAATTCAATAAACTTTTTTGTGGCCAGCATTCTAAAAGAAAAGTTTTTACTGTGTGACAATACTTAAAAATATAATAAATTTATATACCTAGGTATATAAATTTATTATATTTAGTTCTTAGAGTATTCTAAGATTTAGTTACTTAAATCACCTGCCAATAATTTCTCACCATGCCATGGGTTGACTGGCAGAGAATGCTAACTGGCATTAAGTGGGTAAAACAATAAAGTTTTAAATAAATTAGTAAATACACGATAATCCCAAAATTACATAACTTAAAATTTTTCAATAAAATCTTTAATGCACATCATCATAATTATAATCGCTGTATTTAATATGCCATGTTGCATTTACACACCAAAGAACCCTAAAAAATATAAAATAACATGGAATCATAATCGACCGCGTAACCGCGTAATACTCATCATCATTTATCATTATAACCCTTCATAAGTCCACTGCTGAACATAGGCCTCCCCCAAGGAATGCCACAAAGTACGGCCCTGAGCCACCTGCATCCATCAACTTCCTGCATATCTTACCAGGTCGTCACTCCATCTAGTGGGGGGACACTCTACACTTCGTCCGCCGGTACGAGGCCGCCACTCGAGAACCCTTTTTCCCCATCGGTTGTCGGTTCTTCGAGCTATATGGCCGGCCCATTGCCACTTCAGCTTACTAATCCGTTGGGCTATGTTGGTCACTCTGGTTCTACTGTGGATATCCTTATTTCTAAGTTTATCACGCAGAGAAACTCCGAGCATAGCCCTCTCCATAGCTCGCTGAGCGACCTTGAGCTTCCTCATCCGGCCAGCAGTGAAGGACCACGTCTCAGTTCCATGGGTCATCACTGGCAACATGCACTGGTTGTACAGTCTCGTTTTCAAGTTTTGAGGTATACCTGACAAGAAGATGTGCCGTAATTTCCCGAACGCTGCCCAACCAAGTTGAATTCGCCGATTGACCTCCCCAGGTAAACATACTCATTAACAACTTCGAGCTAAGTGCTTCCAACAACTACCGGCATAGGTGTGACATGGACATTAAACATGATCTTTGTTTTGTCCATGTTCATCTTAAGACCTATCTGTTGGGAAACACTATTGAGGTCTTTGAGCATAGTGCTTAGGTCCTCCAGCGAGTCTGCCATAAGGACTATATCGTCGGCAAATCGAAGGTGAGTGGTGTACTCGCCATTGATGTTAATACCTTATCCTTCCAGTCCAGAAGCTTGAAGACGTATTCCAATCAAGCGGTGAAGAGCTTCGGGCATATAACGTCACCCTGTCTTACACCTCTCTGCAATTGGATAGGTTTCGTACTCAGGTTCTGTACTCGGATTGCCATCGTAGCCCTACTGTACAAGCACTTCAGCACTTCGATATACCGGCTCAACCGGTCAACTTGGCACCGCTGAAGGGACTGCAGCATCGCTCAAATTTTGACGGAATCAAAGGCCACATACGCTAGACATAGTGGCAAATTATACTCCTTGCATTTCTGTACAATTTGCCGAAGAGTATGTATGTGGTCTATGGTGCTAAAGCCCTTTCGGAAACCGGCTTGTTCGGGAGGCTGGCAGCCGTCAAATCTGCGCGCGAAACGATTCGTAATGACTCTCGAAAACAGCACGTAGACGCGGCTCAGAAGGGAAATCGGTCTGTAGTTCGTCAAGAGAGCGTTGTCACCTTTCTTGAAGAATAACACCACTGCACTTCTGCTCCACGCCTCCGGTGTAATGCGATCATGGAGGATGGAATTAAAGAGCTTCTGAAGGATTTCAAGTACTGGTTTTCCACCCGCTTTCAGAAGCTTCGCTGTAATTCCATCCTCGCCTGGGACCGGCGGTACGTTGTCTTCCGCATGTATACATGCATGCTGCAGGTTTCGGGCCTCGGGGCTGACCGCATTGCCCGGAATCTCCTCGCGGTGCATTACTATGCACCGGTCATAGGAGCCGATATGGCGTTGTAGGTGTATTACAGCGATCCGGGTTTGATTACCCGGTCGCTGTATGATTGAAAAAAGTTTTCGTCTGAAAAAACGGCGTCTAATTTGGCCTATGTCCTGAAAAAGGCGCCTAATTCGGCCTATACCTGAAAAAGGCGCCTAATTTGCCCTATGGTGCTCCAGTTTTGCCAGGTCGGGTAAGTCGCCCTATAGGCGGCTAATTCGGCCTAGTTGTCTATGATGGCCTGTCTCCGGCATTGAGGGTTTTACTCGACTCTCTACTCGATATAGAGAGGAGTTCTCTTAGTAGAGGTCGCCCGACCGGTGGCCGAGCATGTAGCGGCGCGAAGTTGTTCAGGTGTTCGTGTGGCCCGTTGTCAGCGCGGTCAAACATGCCGCGCGCCAACCGGACCACAAATTCTTGTACGCTCTCCATCTTGAGGTTGGCCTCTATGACGTCGTTCCGGACGTAGCGACCTGCACCGACGATGGTCCGTAGAGATAGGTTCTGCTGAACCTGCAGCCGCTGCCGCTGTCGTTCGCTCAGGAGTGCGTACCAGGCCGGAGCGGCGTAAGTAATCCTCGTTTTTTAATACATTTCGTATATTTTTGTCTTCGTCTTCAGAGATAATTTGGATGCCAGGACTGGACGGAGCATCGCCCGCGCGCATCTGGTATTGCGGACGACGATGTCGACGTGCGCGGTCATGCGCAACATTCTGTCAATCCGGCACCCAAGATAGGTCACGGCCTTCTCGTACGCTATCTCCTGGCCTCTCAGCGTCAACGGGGGCGGGTAAATCCTGTAGCGGCGGGTGAGGAGGGCGGCCGTTTTCCCAACATTTACAGCCATCCTCCACTCATCCAGCCACGGTGGCAGCAGGTCCAGCAGGCGCTGCATCTTGGCGGCGGCGAGATGGGCTCTTCTGGACGAGGTGAAGTAGGCGCTATCGTCCACATATAGCGCCAGCTCTACGTCATCCTCCCATTCGCGTAGGTGTCCCGCCAGTGTAGGGATGTCATTAGTATAAGCCGCGTACAGGATCGGCGAAAGACAGCTGCCCTGTGGTACGCCAGCTCTTATGGGTTTTACTGTGGATTCGGCA